ACTCGTGTAACAAAAACCAGTGAAACATTTAGACATAATAACAAAAAAATATATTATATTATGATAACAATATAATAAAACTTTTAATATCATATATCTTCTTATACTTTCAACTACATAACTGAAATATTTATATAATATAACTTTATGTATTTAAAGATTTTTCTAATAAGGATAAAAATCGCTCTCGCTGAGCATAATTGTTTTCATGATGTCGTTGTTTTTGTTCAATTAATTGTTCAACCCAAGATGGTATTTGGGATTTTCTTTTTCTACTTATTCGCTTCTGTGCTAAGTTAGTTGATCCGAAATGTAATAAATTTTCTGCGTTTTCTTCATTATAGTTATTACAATTTGTCTCTATATTTATACTGTCAGATGTATTTAAAGTATTATTCAGTTGAAAACCTCGTGAACTTGATGCTAGAGATAACGGTGCAATTTCTGGTTTTTTAATTAACATGTCGTTAATAATATTATAATATTCCCATGTTTCTTTTGCTGCGCCTGTTTTATTATTTGCATCTTTTATATTTTTATATTTGTTTTTCATTCCAATCCATTTCACGTGACAATTTTCCGCCGACAAATTGTAACCATGAGTATTCATGGATGCAGCAATGTTTTTCCACACTTGCTTATTTACTGGACTCGTAAAAGATTCTACATGCTTATTTATTTCAGTTAACAGCAATTTCACCATCGCATCAGTCCACTGAGTTCTGTAATTTACTAAATAATATAATACAATAATTATTTACTGCTTGAGAGAATTTTGAATAATATTTATATATAATTATGTTAATTAAGGAATTATTATTATATACATACCAGCATCATGCACTTCATTTAATGATTGAGCCATTCTGTAGCACTATAGACCAAGCCAAATCTGTGGAACTTTAATAAATGTGTTGTAGATTAGAATAATTGAATTTCTTATTTCGGATATTCCACAAATACATGATATTTTCTCATAACTTTTTATAACTTCAATTTAATATTTATAATTTTCCTAAAATTTAATAATTAATTGATTTTTAATGTAATTGTTTCACATTTTACACAATTTTATTACCTGATAATGTTGACTCGTTCGAACGCTATTTACTAGGTTAACTAACTCTACTCGCCTTACCGGACAGCATTGAGTTGTCATAAATCATGAAGGTATTAGGTGGTCGTGCCTATCATATTTTTCGGTTCTGGTGGAACTAACTCATACTCGATTTACCGTAAACACCCACTGCCAGTACTGAAAATCTATAGTTTATATTACGTATATTATAGTATATATAGTATATTATAGTATATTATAGTATTATAGAATTTCAGTACTGGCAGTGAATTTCGGAACGTAGCCCAAGTACACGCATCGGCGTTAATGCCGTCCGAATATCCGTGTGACTTGCACACGATACGCATCACTCAACACTGCTGCGTGTAGGTGAGCCAGGAGCAGCACGGAGTGGCGGAGGGAGCTAGCGATCGTATACGATCGGTATACGATCGTCGGACGCTTGGAGAGGGAATAGTGGTGGGAGTCGCGGCGATCTTCCATCCTCTATCGCAAACGTAAGAACGAGAGAAATAGCATTATAAGACGTCTGGACAGAAATGCCGTCCTAAAATACGTGTGACACACACTAAGAAAACGCTTGACTCACACTGTCTCGTCTATACGTGAGCAATACGCGGTGTCCCGACGACTGTTTC